ACTTCTATAAATCGAAAGGAGACTGCGACCATACCAGAGGCCACAACATCTTGGTCTTCATATCTTAAATTATTAAGTTTAAGTGTAGATGTGTAGATCAAGATGTTGTGGCCTCTATTTTTGTCGCAGTCACCCCTCGATGTATACATGCTGTGTGACCTCGCCTTCGCAACTTGGTCCTGTTGTCAGGGTGACCTATTAAGACGCACCGTGTCCCAATTCCTATGCTATGGCAGCTATCATAATTCCCAGTGTTCGACTGTGGACTTAGTTCATCCCCAAACATTTCTTCAGGATCGTCACTGAGTCATGCCATTTACATCACCAAGCTACAACCATAGCAAATGATTTCATGCAAAACGCGTCTAACTAGATCGCCTTGGCAACACGGCCATTTGCGAAAACGAGCTCAGGCCACTTTTAAGATGGAGCCGGATAGTTTTCTTGCCCTGTTGTTAACGTGAGCCTTGTACAGGAATGAGACAAAGCTCTGATGATGCCCATCATATGATGGATGAAGGCTCAACTTGTTTTAACCTGAAATCAGGGACGATATTTCGTGGACTTCGTCAACCTGAAAGTCATATTCAAGCTAGACAGCTTCGGGACAACGATAATCAGCCGTCGTCTTCTGGTGAGATCAACCAACGAACCTCTTCTTCAAGAACTTTCATCCGAAATTGGATTCGTCCGACTGCTAAACTTACTAAAGTATGCAATGATTCCTATGAGCATGTGTGTTCATGCATGGGCAAGAATCCACCAGTCTTAGCCTTACTGACAGGATATATGACAAACAGTTAGAGCCATCGAAACTATTAGATGACCTTTTAGGAAGCTGTGTGATAAGAGAAATCAGTCAGAATTTCTATGAGAATTGTAGGCTAGTTTAGTTACTTAGAGACTACATTGATTTTCGTCTAGTTTGATAGACATTCATAAAGTGAGAAGTCGTGAAGAGTTCGAGAGGAGTCTGAATTTCGCCCAAGTTCGTGACATTTTGTAAGCAAGCGAGTATTCGTCAATTTACTCGCGGAAATAGTAAAAAGGAGTCTTTAGTCGTATTAACCGAAAGCATTAGCAATCATTGCTTTTGCTTTGCCTAGTTGGCAGGCAGTCGTATCATTTAACCTACATCTGCATCGCTCTACTTTGGACGTGAGTGTTGATGCTGCCCAGGAGTGGTGAATCAAGAATAGTAAATGTTTTATACGAATAAAAATGGGGCTTGGAAGAAATCCTTAAGAATCTGTTGGGGCACGACTTTTCATTAAGAAAGAAAATTTAATTTAAACCAATGTCATAAATTGGTTGGCTGAGTGGATTTGGTGCAATTTTTCCTAAATGAAGAAATATCCTCAAGGTTTATTTGAGTCACAGGAAGGTGAGCCAACGACATTTTAGTTATCGGCATTCCTCCTTCGGTTTCCGGTGAGGCCAATTTACGAATTCCTTCAGAATGTCTTCAAAATGAAAGGTTGCGTCACAGTGTGACATCTCGTTTTTGCACCAAATCGCCGTGAATAGTATCAATATTGTATTGTACGAAAAAGAGTATAGCGCCTAATATTTGCTACCAAGTGGCCTTGTAGTTGGCCTGTATGCATACTTGCATTACAATACAACAGATTTTATCGCCAGCTTTCTGAAACTTGCCCATTTATTTCTCTTACCTTAAGCCTTATTTGATTGCCTGCCTCCGTCGCTCACATGTCCATGCGTGAATTTTCTAATAGATTCTCTTATCTTGCACCAAAGCAGCATAAGGCAAAATCCATGTCGATGAGTTTGGAGCCAATTTATCTCATTTACTTCTCTTTTCACTTCATGTATGGCCTAAAAACACCGAGTTGAGTAGCTTTAATGGGCTATGTTTTATGACTATGTTCTGTTGTGTGGGACAGCAGATCGGCTACTCAAACATAAGTCTTTGCAACAGTCACATGTGGAAAATAGGATCACTTTTGACATGAAGATGATAATGAGGAATAGAGTTTGCCTTAATGATCGCTTGGTTGCTATGCTCCTAATGCCCTACGATTCCACTCTTCTACAGCATACTATAACCTATTGAATCATTGTATAAAGCAGAATTCCCAAAATTATATTTTATGCTATCACGGAAACCAGCAAAGGTTCTTGGAGCAACACACTTCAGACGACTGTCCTCGACGTCTATTCGTCTGTCCGTTCTGTGAGGCCTCTATGACGGCCGGCGAGGAGATGACACACACGGAAAGTTGCCCCCAGTTCCCGATACCTTGTCCGAACGGCTGCAAACAGCAAGAGGTGCCACGCTGTATGTTGGCTGAGCATCTGGAGAACATGTGTACAAAGCAGGAGTTGGCCTGTCCATTCGCAAAGCATGGTTGCAAATTCCGTGGCAAAAAAAGAAATCTGACAGGACACGCTGAGGCCGAGACTCTGACTCATCTGGACTTGATCAACTCGACGACGAAGCAATTATTGGTTCTCATAGAAATACAGGTGGGTCGCCTATTCGATGCTTGATGCCTCAAAATATCATCCTTCTTTATGGTTCTGTAGTCGAATAAGCGTCAAATTCGTCCTGTATTCTCTTTGACCGTCCTATTGGTAAATCAAGAGGTTATCCTCTCTCTCTCTCTCTCTACTCATCTGGGATATATAATTATATAAATAAATAAATAAATAAATAAATAAATAAATAAATAAATAAATAAATAAATAAATAAATAAATAA